CCTCAGTGGCATCATCAGAGCCTACTATAGTCATACCAGCTCAGTCTACAGCAGCTCTAGTTCCTGATCTGACCCAGACTGCTATAGCACCGCTTCTAGCTATAGAGGGTCAGACTGCTCAGAGCTCAGGGTCAGATGATGATGGCACCTAGTTCTAGCTCGCTCCTCGTACCTCAGTGCCCGGCTCGTCCGCTGCAGCCCCGCCGACCGACCCTTAGGTTATGGTGTTTGACGCCAAAGGGGAGAGGGTTCGAGTATGCTAGCCATAGGGGGGAGCAACATATCTAGGGGAGCTTAGTTATTATATTAGCTTACTATTACATTTGGAGTTTTATGTGTGATACACTATTATGCATTCGTCGTGTGTTTACTCATATGTGTTAAAACTATTTATGTGATAGTGATATCTATGTGATCGTGATATATGACATGTGTGCTCTCTACTTTGATTTATTTATATGTCATATCACTTGTGTTATGCTCATTTGCCTTTGCTCCCGCGTTTTACTCCTATGCAAATGAGCTTTATTACTTGTACTCATTCTTATTTCATATCTTTTGAGTACATCATGATGGCTTGGTTCATATAAGCTTGCATAACTCTTTTGTTCTTATTGACAAAAGCTTATATGATCCAAGCATGTTAAAAACCTCAACTCATTCACATACTCGAGGTGGTATTGTCATCAATCATCAAAAAAGAGGAGATTGAAAGCATCTAGGCCCCTAGTAGGGTTTCGGTGATTAATGACAATACAAGATTACTATGACTAACGTGTGTTTTGCAGAGGCAATTAAGTTAGGTCATGGTAATGGAGATCGATCGGGCAATCATGGTTGTCATGCCCCTACGATGGAAATCATTTCGGTTTTCAAAGGATGGACGATAAGGTTAAGGATGGACTAGTTCTAAGTGTCGATTGGAGTTAGAGAGACACCTAGAGTAGTTTAGGACTTTGTTTTTCCTTTGACCATACTATTAAGGGGGGTATGGATGGGTAGCTTGACCTAGGTGAGTCTAGTGAGTTAGGTGTGGTGCACATTTATTAAAACTAGCACTAGGTAGCTCCAAAATAGCCCTTAGATCCAATGGAGCAAACTTCATTCACATATGATCGAGAGTTGGAAGTGAATGGATGGTCAAATACTATCCGGACGCTGGCTCTGGTTTGACCGGATGCTGGCTCTGGGTCCGGTCAGTTCATTTGACCAAGGTGGTAACGTTCGGTGTGATCGGACGCTGAGAGATGAAGTGACCGGACGCTGAGAGCCTGCGTCCGGTCGACTCTAGTAAGGTTCTAGAGAGGGAAACTCATGACCGGACGCGTCCGGTCAGTGCTGACCGGACGCTGGCCAGCGTCCGGCCACACTGTAAACACTAGAGTTCGGGGTATACTGACCGGAGCGTCCGATCAACATGACCGGAGCATCCGGTCACCCCGCAGAGGCACATAACGGTTCGTTTTTCAGCCCATGTTATAAATACCACCTCCACTCGTGTGTGGGGGTACTTTTGCTCATTCGAACAGCTGAGAAACACCTTAGGGAGTGCCAAGAAGAGCAAGGTTCTAGTGAGGTGATTGAGATTTGAGAATCCCAAAGAGAGCCCTCATTAGTGAGATCAAGAGTAGCAAAGTGTGCATCCACCCTTCTCATTAGGCTTGTCGTGGTCAAGTGAGAGTTCATGCTTGTTACTCTTGGTGATCGCCATCACCTAGATGGCTTGGTGGTGATTGGGAGCTTGGTGATCATCTAGAGAGCTTGTGGATGACCCAACTCAAGTTGTGAGCGGTTATGGGTGATTCACCGCGACGGAGTGTCGAAGAATCAACCCGTAGAGAGCACTTGATCCTTGCGCGGATCAAGGGGGAGCTACACCCTTACGTGGGTGCTCCAACGAGGACTAGTGGGGAGTGGCGACTCTCCGATACCTCGGTAAAACATCACCGCGTTCTTCCTCCTCTCTTTACTTTGAGCATTTACTTTGAGCAATTCAATTCTTGTCATTTACATTCTTAGAATTGCCATTCTAGAGTAGGATTGGAACATATGTTGTAAGTCTTTTGTGCGGTAGAACAATTAGAAACACTTTTTAGGCACAAGGGGTTAATTGGGCTAACCGTAGAATTTAATTATTGCAAAGAAATTTAGAATTAGCCCAATTCACCCCCCCTCTTGGGCATCTTGATCCTTTTAGGCACGTCGGGGAGCTGCCGACAGTGGTCGGCCATAGGACGCTGCACATGGGCACAACTGACGGGCCATGACCTTTACTGTGCACGGGGATCAGGCACCATGGCAAAAGCTTTGTCCGTCTTTGGACCGATGACGACGACGCCTCTGGGCGCCATTTTCTTGCTTGGAAGCGTCCATCGAACGACCCTCTCCCCTTTGTGCGGCGTGTCTTCCCTGGGTGAAAACCTTGACCTTCTGGTCAGGCGACGGTGGCACCGGTGGCGTCACGTTCCTCCTTGGAGGAGTTGTTTCGGAAGCTTGTGCTTTGTCAGTCTGCGGCGGCGTCCAACGTCGTGGTGAGAATGGTGGAGGCTTAACTGAGGATTCAAGTTTGCGGTGTCCATGATGAAGGAAGGCTGTCAGGAGGAGGGTGGTGGCGCGGCAATTGGAGGGCCTCGCATCTGCTTGGTAGCGGAGGGCGGTGGTTCGGTGAGACCGTACGCCAGTGCGAGTGCGACCACGAAGTTGGTGAGAAGGCCGGTGTGGGAGGCGCCTACAGAGTTGGCGAGGAGGCCGACGTGGGAGGTGGTGCCCAGCAGATTTGCATTGCCGAGGTGACCTGCCGCTTATCGGCGATTGTTTTCGGTGCAAGGAGGCATTTCTGACTGACAGCTAGAGGACGTGTGTGTCACTTCTACCTTCGATGAGGCAGCTAGGTCCTGGAAGCTACGGTGTGCGTGCTTGGATTTCGGTGGACGGGGTTGGTTTGGCGAGCGCCAGAGGCAGCTATGGCTTGCAGCGAGCTACCGCGATTAGCCCTGCTCAGCAGCGGGCTACCTCGGTGTGAGACAACGTCGGTAACGATGGCGCAAGCGGTGACGACGGTGTTTTTGTCCTCACGACTCTGTCATCCGGTTGTTAGGGGTGCAATGTTTGTGGGTGTTTCAGATGCGGTCGAGTGTGTGTTCTGTGCTGAGCTTCGACCTGTGTGGCTCGTGTCGATGTCCCATTCTGACCTGGTCAGAGTTATTTTTTTCTTTTCTTGAGTTTGAGTTAGGTGCGTGTTAATGGCCCGATCAACCACCCGTAGTTGTATCTTTTTATTTTACTTGGTCCGGGTTTTATATACTTTTTAATATAATCAGCATTTCTCCTAATTCGTTTTTAAAAAAAGGTGGGCTGTAGGCACGGTGCAATAGTCGGACGCTGGAGCCCCCTGCTTATGGAATTTCTTACGCAGGCCGACCACCACCCCGACCCCGCCTCGCCGCGCGCGCCTTGCCAGCGTCCTTGAGGGCGTGCACTGTTCCGAGATCCGGTACTCACTGTCGCGTAGTAGGACACGTCTCCGCCTCCAACACCATCCTGCGCGCCTACCACCCAAGTGAGTATTGTACGTCGCGCAGTCTGGCACCACGTCCGCTTCCTGTTCCTGCACGGCCTCCAGGCAGCCGTACGTACACCTTCCACAGTCTCGTCCACTTTATATGTTGTGTGGCATCGGCGTCGGGGTCTCGCATGCCCCCAGGATAAGGCTGTGCAAAAATAACTGAGAACCGAGAACTGAACCGAAAGAATTGGAACTAAAACCGAAAGAACCGAAACCGAAAATTTCAGTTCCTTATTCGGTTCATAATATTGAAGAACCGAAATAACCGAAGAAAATTCGGTTCCTACTCTCGGTTAACCGAATTAACCGAAAGAACCGAATTACATGAATTATACTTCGCTTACTTGTATTTTATAGGATTATGTGTAGTGTTTTATATTTGAACTGCTATATATTTGTATTACTATATTGCTATTATTTTCTTATATATTATTATTATTAAAAATAAATATAGTGTTGCATAAATTTACCTTAGAACAAGTATATTTATTATTGTCTTGAGGTCTTCTAAAAAAATTCGGTTAGTTCGGTTAGAACCGAAACTGAACCGAAATAACCGAGAACCGAAATACTCGGTTCCTAAAAATTTTTGGAACCGATCGGTCCCGTTTTCTAGAAACCGAATTTCTTCGATAACCGATGAAACCGAACCGAAACCGAACCGAACGAACGCCCACCCTGACCCCAGGAGGCCAGGATTGGCAACGAAAGGGATCGGACTGGGGTCCCGATAAAAACTTATCAAAAGACTCGAGCAGGCGATCGACACGCGGCAACCCTACTATGTCTATGTGACTAGGTCTACTATATCACCAACCCTATTGCGGACCACCCTCCAGATTAATAATATAGCCGGCTAGTGTCCGTATAAATCCTTGCTGCCTATCTCTTAATTCACTTCTATAGTTACATCTTCGATACATATTCATAATGTCTTGCTCATCTATCCCATAGAGTTTTTTAGTTTTAATGTACAAATTAACTATAAGCTTATAGACCGCTTCTTCTCTCTGCTTCTTCAACCTCCTCCGTCTCAGTATGAAGCCTGCTCACAGTCCCTGCTATACCTGCTCTCAGAGGCTCAGACCACCGCCCCGGCAGATATACCCGCCGTTTTGATTTCCGCTCTAGGAGAGGAGGGTCCATTCGTTCCAATTCACAATGCCCACTCCTCTCCTGCTCCCCATGCCGTCGGCTCCCCTCCGACTCGCCGTCGTCGGGGCGGGCGGCGGGCGCGGCGGGCCTGGCGGCCTCCCGCGAGCTACGCCGCGAGGGCCACACGCCCGTCGTCTTCAAGCGCGCCGCCGCCGTTGGGGGCACCTGGCTCTACACGCCCCCCGCCAAGTCCTCCGACCCGCTCGGCGCCGCGGCGACGCACTCCAGCGGCTCCAGCAGCCTATACGCGTCGCTCCGCACCAACTTGCCACGCGAGGCCATGGGATTCCTCGACTTCCCCTTCGCCGGTGGCGCCGCGGGCTCTCAGCAGGACCCCCGCAGGTTCCCCGGGCACGAGGAGGTCCTCCGGTACCTGGAGGCGTTCGCGCGGCGGTTCGATCTGCTCCGGCTCGTCCGCTTCCAGACGGAGGTGGTCAGGGTGTGCAGGTGGAACGACGGGAGGTGGGCGGTGACGTCTAGGAAGCTTGGAGAGAAGGGGAGCGGCGCCGGCGAGGAGGAGTTCTACGACGCCATCGTGGTTTGCAATGGCCACTACACGGAGCCACGCATCGCCGCTATTCTTGGTAAGTATATATATATATATATATATATATATATATATATATATATATATATATATATATATATATATATATATATATATATATATATATATATATATATATATATATATATATATATATATATATATATATATATATATATATATATATATATATATATATATATATATATATATATATATATATATATATATATATATATATATATATATATATATATATATATATATATATGACGCCACAATGCATAACAGTTCACACGGAGACGGAGCACAGCAGTCCTTCCAAGCCGACTCCGCAGTCCGCACCGTGGTCTCGGTTGCCGGCCACCTTCGTGGATCGGTGATCTGCTGCCCGGAAACGAGTCGGCAAAGCACAGAGGAATAAGGCCTTCGACTCCTCCGTCACGCACCAACCTTTAACGACGTCCGCAGCTCGCCGAGATAGGTTCAAGATCCATATAATGCGCTACAGTATTGCAGGCCGCGGGCGTTGAGACCGATCTTTTCACTCCCCCCCTCCTATAACAACGAAATATGTGCCCATAGTCATGTTAGAAAAGTACTAGTTTATGCATAGCGGGATATATTCTGGAATAATCTGCCTAATCTTTTTTTAAGGAAAACGGAATTTATATTAAAACTTAGCACAGTAAAACTCTAAATCCATCCATCTCTATTCGTTTGGCTTATAAGCTATACTTTTTCGGTCAATAAATAGTATTTTTCTCTGATAATAAATCAGTCAATAATACTTTCAACCATGGCTTATCAGCCAAGCAAACATGGCAATATACATATCCATACCTCCATATTCATACATAATAATAAAGAGACAAAATTTTCAACCATTTTTTTCGTTCACCTCCCTCTAACTAACTCCGTGAATGTGGGATCAGAACTGTCTCTATTGGTATGTCTACAACCCTCCTGTTTTATATATGAGTATGCAGGGCTGGTTAAGGTAACTTGAGTAGCTAAGGGGGTGTTTGGTTCTTTAGTTGTTCCTAAAATTTATGTCACATCAAATGTTTAGATACTAGTAAGGAGCATTAAATATAAATTAATTACAAAACCAATTACATAGATGAAGGCTAATTTACGAGACGATTTTTTAAGTCTAATTAATCTATCATTAGCACATGTTTACCGTAGCACCACGTTGTCAAATCATGGACTAATTAGGCTTAAAAGATTCGTCTCGTAAATTAGTCGTAAGTTGTGCAATTACTTTTGTAATTAGCCTATATTTAATACTCCTATCAAATATTCGATGTGACAAGAATTTTAAGAGTGCCTAAAAACTAAACAGGACCTAAGAATTCTAATCCTAATTCAAATAGATCTTTGAATCCTTAGTGACTTGAATAGGAATCCTAACCCAAATTAGAAAAAAAATATATAAGAGTTTTGGACTGTTTCTGGTTTTCTTTTTGAATTTTATTTTTCCCAAATCCGAATACGAAACAACTGTTGTGCTTTTTTTTCAATTTTTATTTTCCCGAACACAGAACACTCGTTCTGTTTTTTCAGTTTTTATTTTCCCAGATCCGAACAGAAAACCCGTTCGTTCAGTTTTTTTTTCAAAATTTTATTTTTCCTAATCCAAATTTTTATTTTTCCCGAATCATTTTTATTTTTCCTAGATCCAAATACAGAACACCTGTTCTGTTTTTTTCTATTGTTTTTCCGGACCCGAACGAACACCGGTTTGTTCCGTTTTTTTCAATTTATTTTTATTTTTGCCGGATCCGAATTTTTATTTTTCCTGGATCATTTTTATTTTTCCCAGATCCGAATAACGAACACTTGTTCTGGTTTTTCTATTTTTTTTCCGGATCTGAACATAACACCGGTTTGTTCCGTTTTTCCAATTTTTATTTTTGCCGGATCCGAACAGAATACCTGTTCAAGTTTTTTTTCCGTTTGTTCCGTTTTGTTTCTAATTTTATTCATTCCTTTTTTTCTAATTTTTATTTTTCCGGGATCTGAACAGAACACCAGTTCCATTTTTTTCCCGATTTCGTTTCCTGTGCTGGTATCGTGTCTGTCCAGGTTTCTTTTTTTCCTCTGTTTTTTCACGTACTGTTTCTGTTTTTTTTTCTTTTTTTATTCCTATTTGTTTGCGTCTTTTTTCTTTTTCTGCATGCTATGTTTTCTCTTTTTCATGTTCCGTTTTTTTGTCCGATTTTCCACTACCCTTTCGATCCAACTTCTTCTATTTTTCCATAAATAATAAATATAATATTATAGATATTTGAACCTGTGATCTCATTCTTTCTTCAGAAAAGGAAAGATTTACACCACTAAGATGTTAAAAAAGTTTTGTTGATTAGGAATAAATTCTATCTTATTATAACCTAGCTTTTGGTCTAACCAATCAAACCGTGAATTAACATTTTGACCAAATTGTTGTTGGTCCGATCTAAATAAAATTATCTCTAAAATTTACATATGTTCCTGTGTAATCCCCAGTGATAAGCTGATAGACCCGTGATTTGATTAAAGGTCCACAGAGAAAGTCATGCAACTAGATATTTAAATATATCAATGCATAGATACTATGAAAATATCTCTGTGTTTTGTAACGGAAGAAAACAAATCTATCAACATTGTATTTTAAATTTGATGCAAACTTAATGGGTTATTATCACACAATTGCCAATATTAGCTTATATATATATGATGGAAGTTACGATCATTATAAAGTAAATTATAGCTTTTAAAGTTTATAAAAATGGTAAATAAATAGATTTGTACAATTTTCATCGTCGTTTCTCATAAATACTTGATACTTTTTTCTACCGTTGCAACATACGGGTATATTTGCTAGTTACATATTAAAAATATAAAATAAATAATATATTAGTTTATCTAGATTTTTCTATCATCTTCTTCTCTAGTGGCTTTTTTCGATGCAACTGTTGCTCTAGATGAACACAAATTTGTTGAACACCGAAGCCAGAGTGCAGTCCTTATGCCGGATCCAATGATCAACCCCAAAACATTGGACATGTTGCAAGATCAAACGTTACGGAACCAGTCCAAAACGTATCTAAATCAATGAAAGAATACCGGCAGTTGCATCGTTGGATACAGTATGTAGGATCAGATTCGTTACCTCCGATTCTTGATTTCCTCTGTGCCACCATCGACGACAAGATTGATGACCCAGAGTAACTGTCCTAGTTGGAAATGCATAGTAGCACACTCCTACCATTTCAGATAATGGCCACAAATTGGTCGTCTATCGATAAATTGACACCTGCAACGGTGACCTCATCATGACAATCACCAAAGTCATCGCAGGTAACAACACCCTGACCAAAATCATCTGATTTTGCCGATACATTTATTTGGGCTAAACCTAAACAAATGGATATAAAAACTATGAAAAACAGAGATATGTACCCTCTCTTTCCTATCCCCAGAAGACGCACCGGAGAGGAAGAATGAGAGGGACCCTAGGCAGAAATGTGGCGACGGCGAGGACCTAGGAGCAATGGCGACAATGTCATTTTCCTTGGGTCGTAACGTGTACTATCTGTAATCCCTTTAACTCTAGGGCGTGGCTAGCGTCCGGACGTCCAGACGCTAGACCTCATCCGGGCCCCATGACTGCCCCATCTGTTGCGCCCACCCCGCATGCCTGATGAGTCTGACCTCATGTTGCACCTGCCTCGCTTGTCCTGCATGCGGCTACAACTATGAGCCTGCCCGCCCACTTCCACATGGTTTTGCACATACACACGCAAGCCTGTGCTTGCTGCTGCGTGCCCCGTGCAGGCAGGTGGGGACCACCCACGCCCGTGCCCCGCATGCAGCGCTCCTCACTTCACTTCTGTGCTACGCGCCCGTGGACGTGCATACAGGTGGGGACCAGATCTACATTTGCAACATCAGATCTACTTTTGCAACATCCAGATGAACATATGCAATATTTAGATAAAACATATGAAACATACATCTAAAACATATAAAACATATTACACCTGCTAATGAAAACACTTCCAACATGAAGCACTTGCTGCAACATATGTCTAAATAGGGTGAAACATCTAAAACATACGGTTACAACATATGTGTATAGCCACAGCAACATATGCAATATCTAGATAAAACACTTGCAACATACATTTGAAATAGATGAAACATTTAAAACATACACTTGCAACATACATGTGTAACCATTGCAGCATATGAAACATACAGATAAAACACTTGCAACATACATCTAAAACAGATGAAACATACACTTGCAACATACATGTATAGCCAATGCAACATATACAACATCCAGATGAAACACATGCAGCACCAGATGAAACATACATCTGAAACACATGGAAACATACGGTGCTCAATGCCATGAAGTGACGGAAAAATTTGGACTAGCACTCAGCTACCAACGATCAACCGTCATGGAGGCAGCAAACGACGCATGCAGATGTGGGCCCGCGCTCCTCTCACAAATAGGCAAGCGGCCTGGCCGACCCTACAACTAGCTATCTGGTCGGCCAAAGCAGCAACGCTGCAAGTAGCATGCGGCAGGGGCAGCTTGGCCTTGGCGCAGACAACACAGAGAGAGAAAAGAGCAGGATGGCAAGCAGCAGCAGGCCTAGGCGCTAGGCAGCAGAGGGCTGGCACGACAGGGACTCCTGCTGATAAGTACTGAAGCTATTTCAGTACGGGAGTTGGCCCGATCTTCATGACAGTAGGTTGGAAACCACAAAATAACTTGCTGCGAACAGCGAAGGATAACTAGCTTTATACCTGCCAAGGTTGGATGCGACCAGGCGATGGGGAGAGAGGCACCGAAACCGCGAAGACTTCGACTCGATCTCCGAACGACCGCAGAACCACAACCGGAGCTAATCCACATAGGCCAGGGCAGCCGTACTGGAACCCGCAAAGCACGAACTAGGGGATTCTAGAGGAATCTCTTCACAAGTCCAGGAAGAACAAGGAAGAACAAGGGTTTGAGTAAGCACTCGGCTGCTC